ATAAAGCCAAGATAGAAGCCATTATGAATTGGGAGAGACCCAAAAATGTGAAAGAGATACGTAGTTTTCTTGGCTTAGCGGGATACTATCGTAAGTTTGTTGAAAAATTCTCCGTATTGGCGTCTCCATTGACAAAGCTCACAAAGAAGGGGGCCAAGTTCATATGGGACGACAAGTGCGAGACAGGGTTTCTTGAACTAAAGAAACGGCTTACAGAAGCACCGGTTCTCGCTCTACCCATACAAGGGATAGGGTATGACATATACAGTGATGCTAGCATCCAAGGGCTTGGATGTGTACTCATGCAGAACGGTCGAGTGATTGCCTATGCTTCTAGGCAATTGAAGAAACACGAGGCGAACTACCCTACCCACGATCTAGAGTTGGGGGCGGTAGTGTTTGCACTAAAGATTTGGAGGCATTACCTCTATGGGGAGACATGTCACATTTTTACCGATCATAAGAGCTTGAAGTACGTATTCACTCAGAAAGAGTTGAATATGAGACAAAGGAGATGGATGGAGTTGATCAAGGACTATGACTTGATCATCGACTATCATCCCGGAAAGGCCAATGTAGTGGCCGATGCACTGAGCAGGAAAAGTACGTCGGGGACATTATTCACATGTCTACGAACTTTGAGGGCACAAGTGGAGGTGTCCACGAGTGGGGTCCTCATTGCTAGATTCGAGGTTAGGCCTACATTGCTGAGTGAGATCAGTAGATGTCAGGCCACTGATGAAGAATGCCAGAAGATCCGCGAGAGGATCCTTGAAGGGCCTGTGGAGAACTTTCGGGTACGTGATGACAGTCTTTTACTGTTTAAAGACCGTGTATGCATACCAAAGAGTGAGGAGCTCCAAAAGTCCATACTAGAGGAGGCTCATTCTTCGGCATATGCTATGCATCCAGGAGGTACTAAAATGTACCGAGACCTGAAGGAAAGTTACTGGTGGTCGGGAATGAAGAGAGACATCGCAGAGTACGTGAGTCGATGCCTTACTTGCCAACAAGTTAAGGCAGAGCATCAGCACCCGGCGGGGCTTTTGCAGCCACTGACCATTCCGGAATGGAAGTGGGAACACGTGACCATGGACTTCGTGGTGGGGCTACCACGAACAGTGAACAACTACGACGCAGTATGGGTAGTGGTTGATAGGCTCACTAAGAGTGCACACTTTTTGCCTATCAACATTACTTATCCTCTTGAAAGGTTGGCAAAGCTATACACGGAGGAGATTGTGAGACTACATGGAGTCCCGATATCCATTGTCTCGGATAGGGATCCACGATTCACATCCCGGTTTTGGCCTAAGTTTCAAGCATCTTTGGGTACTAAATTGAAGTTTAGCACAGCTTTTCATCCGCAGACGGATGGACAATCTGAGAGAGTGATACAGATCCTGGAAGATATGCTTAGGGCATGTGCTTTGGAGTTCCAAGGAAGTTGGGACAAGCATTTGGCTCTAGTTGAGTTTGCCTATAACAACAGTTATCAGGCGAGTATTGGCATGCCTCCATACGAGGCATTGTATGGGAGGAAATGCAGGACACCGTTGTGTTGGGACGAGGTTGGCGAGGCCAAGCTCGAAGGAATTGAACTTGTTGAAATCACCAAGGCTAAGGTGAAGGTCATTCAGGATAGACTTAAGGCTGCCCAAGATCGGCAGAGGAGTTATGCCGACAAACGACGCAGGCCATTGGAGTTCGAGGTTGGTGATAAGGTCTTCCTAAGGATTTCGCCTTGGAAGGGCATCATCCGATTTATATCGAGGGGAAAGCTTAACCCCCGATACATTGGTCCATTTGAAATCCTTGAAAGGATAGGGGCTGTGGCATACCGTCTCAAGTTGACGCCGGAACTTGAGAAGATACATGACGTGTTTCATGTATCGATGCTCAAGAAATACGTGAGAGATCCATCTCATATTCTTGAGAAGCCACCGGTGGAAATACGCGAAGATCTACAATATGCGGTGGAACCGGTAAAGATCGTGGGTCAACAGGTGAAGAAACTGAGGAACAAGGAGATTCCTATGGTAAAGGTCCTTTGGAGGAGTGATCGAGTCGAAGAAGAAACCTGGGAGACTGAGGTCTCAATGAGGGAGCAATACCCGTTTCTTTTCGATTAGACACGTGGATTTCGGGGACGAAATCCCAATTAAGGGGGGGTGAACTTGTAACACCGTCCCCAAAAAGTATTTACTTCTAAGTAAATAATGTATTGAACTTATGGAATGGTTAACGAGTATTCGAAGTTGTGAATTTTTATTAATATTTTTGCGTGAATAGTAAATTCGCACGTGGGGCCCGCACCGGGAACGGGGGCCGCCCGATATTCCCGAGACCGTATAGTTTATTCATCTTGGTCAATATAACATTTATATAGTGGTGGATAATTTATTTGGTCCAAAGGAATAATATAGAGTTGACCGGTTGATCAAAAAGGGCCCAAATACCGGTATTGGCAATTTAACCGATAAAAGCCCGAAATTAAATTTCGGGGACTTATAAATTAAAGTTGGGGAATGAATATTCATTATAAGGGTCATAATGATGGAGAACACATGGTATATTTTATTTGACCCGATAAAATAAAATGTATTTAAAACAGTCCGAAAAATACAACTTTCGGGACCGATTGTACACGTCGGGACACAAAGGGATGACCTCCCACATGAGTGGGGGCCACCCCACGTTTTTTGGGGCTGGACAAACAAAGATTGTGCTGGGTTGACAAAGAAATGAGTGGAGGAGGTGCAAAGGGCCCTTTAACCTCACTCATTTGTCAAATGAGACAAAGAGGAACCCCCACCCCCCTTTCCCTTCCATTATTCGGCCAACCCACAAGAGAGGAGCAAGAAGGAGCTCTCAACCCATCCTCCATTTTTGCAGCACAAGCCAAGCTTAAGGAGTCAAAAGAAGGGGTTTTGGGAAGGAAAAGTTGGGAGAAAGTGAGAAAGATTAAGGTAATGACCTTATACTAAGCTTTTCCTTTATTTTCCTTCTATCATATGAGATATATATCATATGAAGAACCTTGAGGCTTGTTCTACATGATTTAAGTGTAGAATGGTAGGTTGGAAGGTGGTTCTATGTCCAAAAACGGACTTAGAAGCCAAACCGACCGGTTCACCGGAAAATAACCTTTTAAGGGTTATGGGTATTGATTAAGGTTTTATGATGTTAAAACCTTGTTAGGGACTTGATATAGAGTATCTTTGAGCTTCGCCGGAGTTTCGCCGGAGTTGGTCAAAGTTGGCCGGAGTTGGTCAAAGTTCACCGGAATTAGTCCAAGTTCAACCGCGGAGCGTAGAACACGCTTAAGCTCACTTAAGGTGAGGATGACCGACTATATTGCTTATAATCTTTGGGTTAATTTCATAAGATTTCCTAAATGAATACACAATGTGATTTGCATGGATTATTAATGGTTAATAATGCCTAAATGAAATTTCTATTGATTATAAGTATAGTTTGCATAATATACAAATTTATTGAATAAATTGTGTATGTTTATATGTTATGAATATGATGGCATGATAGTAGCATCAACCACAAATTTCATTGTGATAAGTATGCTTTTAATTCATGAGAAGAAGCCATGAAAGAATAAAAGTGATATTTTGATATTAAGGTCAAACTACATATTGAATGAAGAATTACATTGAAATGAGTAAATAACTAGTATTGAAATATTAGTTGGAATTGTAGTTGAATAATGGATGAATGGATCCTAAGAAATCGAATTATAAAGAATCGGTGATTATTGAGCTGGGCTCTAGACCGATGTAGATAACGGTGATTATTGAGCTGGGCTCTAGACCGTAATAGTTATCGGTGATTATTGAGCTGGGCTCTAGACCGATGTAGATAACGGTGATTATTGAGCTGGGCTCTAGACCGTAGTAGTTATCGGTGATTATTGAGCTGGGCTCTAGACCGATGTAGATGACGGTGATTATTGAGCTGGGCTCTAGACCGTAGTAGGTAACGGTGATTATTGAGCTGGGCTCTAGACCGTGGTAAGAAATGATGAAATGACACTAAACGAATAAAGTTAATCATGAGATAATAACACCCTAGATTGAGGGTCTTGGAAATTGAAACATTGATTATACTTAGTATAGTTGTCATTGTACTTGTCAAATGCTTCCAAGTACTGACCTCCCCTTCACGGGGGAGGCCACCTCACAGTTTCAGGTAGGAGCTGAGCTTGCTACCAGTGCCCGTTGTTCCGGGTGAATTCAAGGAAGGAAGACGTGGTTCGTGCTTCCTCCGTTCCTGTTTTAAAAACATTTAAATTAATGCTCATGGATATTACATTTTGAATAATCATTTGGGGGCTTGTATGCCCATGTTTGCCAAAGTGTGGCACGAACACTTGTATTAAATGTTTCCGCTGCTTTGAATGAATATTTTACATTATGTTTGTTTATGGATGTACTATGCGTGAATGATATTCCAGACGCCTTGTATAGTATGGATGTGTTGGACTGCGGTTGACTATTCGTACTGTACGGCGGATTGTTGACGTGTCCGGTTAGGTCCGGGGCGTGACAAGATAGATAGATCAGATTTAAGTATATAGCAAAATTTGATTACTAGTATATTAATTTAGTTATATAATAATCATTAAAATGGTTGAATATAGCACAAACCTAAGATCACATTTACAAATCTACCACTTGCAAACTTAGCACATTTGTCGATATGTATTTTATGTTATGCTATGATTATATTCAGAAAGATTAGTAATAATTTAACAAGTGACTGGTCTGGATCTATATTTTCCTTAACCGAAATCCAGATTTGTTAATATTGTTCTGTTCCAGACCGGTCCATTCTCATTCAAGTTCAAATGCGATCTAACCCGATTAATGCAGAGATACATGTGAATGAACTATGTTATCCTCTTTGGTGTAAAAGGAAAATAACAAGACCATAAAAGGTGAAATATAGTTATCGATGTTTAGTTGTTACTATCTTCGTCCCATTAGAAAGTTCTCGTCCACTATTTACATGATCAAACTAAATCATTTTCAATCTTTTATTTTATATATCAAATTTAGACTACATATTTAATGAAGCAAAGCTTATTGAGACTTTTGTAAAGTAGAAAATAGGAAAAAATACTATTGTACAACATAATACCATAGCTAGCTTATGAGTTTCTATGGCCAAAGAAACTAATTTGTACGAGTATTTAACTTTACAGCAGAGAAAATGATAAATTGAATATGAAATCATGAAAACGCCATAAACACAATGGTGGCCGCAGCTTGCACGGCCCCAAGAACGGAAAAAGAACTCTGCTGCTTCACGGCGGAAGAAGTGCCTGGAAAAGGAGACTTCTTCTTGTGCGCGGCGACGTCGATCATGACCTCAAACCTGCACGCGCCTCCCTGCGAAGAGCGCGTCGGAGACGGGTCGATCTTGGTAATCGCCCCCAAATTCTGCGTCTTGTCGCCGCACGCGCTTCTCGTCTGATTCATCGTCTGATAGTAACTATTGAACACATAAGAAGCGTTTCCCCGGGCGTCCAAGCCGGCGCAGGACGAGCCGAAGCCGAGGCTCGTGCAGTCGGCTAAGCCGCAGGCGTAGTTGACAAAGGCCTCCAAGCTGGTGGGGTCCGCTGGATTGGCGTCCCCGGCTAAAACGCACCACTGCCGGGGATAATACCGGACGCCCTTCGCCGGCGTCAAACTCCGGTTGTTTCCCAGATCTAGCTGATACTTGATCGTGCCGTCGAAGTAGAACAGCCCCCAATGCCTCTCGAAGTTTCCTGGATCGATGCTCTTGGCGTCCTCGTCGATCAGCCCGAACAGATACGTGTCCGGCGGCGACGACGGCCGCTTCGGGGTTCCCCGGCCCTGAATTATCCGGTCCACTAACCCCTGATTGAACTTCCGGGCATACTCCAGATTCGCATTCTGGTCGCCGTCGGTGGGCCACCCGACCTCCCCGATGATGATGGGCAGTGACCCGTACCCGTTTTTCTCGAGGGCCCAGACCAGAGTGTCGTAATTGGCGTCCAAGACGTTGGTGTAAACGGTGGAGCCGTCGACGACCGGGGAGGCGGCGCCGTTGAAGAAGGCGTAATCGACGGGGAAGTGGGAGTCGGCGTATAGGCTGAGGAAAGGGTAGATGTTGATGGTGAGGTGGCCGTCGTTGTCGCTGAGGAATTTGACGATGGAGAGCATGAGTGGTTCTATCTCGGGCCGGAAGTTTCCGCCGGAGGGAACGCCGGTGGACGTGTCATACACGTCGGCGTTTAGTGGGACCGTGACTTTGACCTGACGACCTAAGCCAGCTTTGACCAGTGCCGCTCCGATATTCTTCAGTGCCGGAAATGTTGTTAGCACGAATTTGTCTTTGTACGTTTTCAAGAATGGTTCATTTCCTACCGCCACGTGCCTTTAAATAAAAAAATAAAGGAAATAACTTATGAGTATATCATTAAAAAATTTAAATTAATTATCGAAACAAGAGTTATTTCAATACTCATTTCAATCTCAAATCATACTAGGAATTAGATAAGCCATTATTCAAAGAGACTATATCACATTAAATATATCAAATTAGATTAAATTAAATTTATACAGAGTAAAATAGTATATCACATTAAATAGTAAAATATACATTTATCAAGAGTACATCTAACAAATCTAACAAACTAGATGTACTCGTGTCTATATCTAATTGTAGGTCTAATAGTAGTACTTGGAAGGTGAATGTTGTTGTCAGTTCTGGTAACTGTAAATTTGATGTAACGATCATGATTCTAATAATATAAATATAGTCGATTTCTTTGAAAAAAACAAATTAGATGAAATTTAAATGGACTAGTCACATTTATAACTAAACTAAAGAACTTAAGTTCAAATGAAAACATTCAAGCTCTTTTTAAGGTACATATTAAATCTTATGTCTTATTCCTAAATATGGGAATAAAACACAATATCTTTTTTTGTTGTATGTTTTCCTTTTTCTTATAGTATTTGTTCCGTTAAATGTCAACATCCTTGATTAGGATGAGTTTCAAACTCGTGACCTCCTCTTTGAAAGTGTCACATTAATGTCATCAAATCACAAAATGTATGCCTTTTTGTTGTAACACTTAAATTTATTTAAGCAATTTCCGGTATTATATACATCTCCATATACAAGAAGTTGTTATTAGGGAAAATGCAGTGAATAGAAGAAAACAAGTTTTGAAATTCCAAGCATATGACTGTTATGTTTCTCTTTCTAAAATAAGAGTCGTTTCTCTCATAATTAAAAATTACTGTCATGAGCAAAATATTGTCATTAATGATAGTGAATAATGTGTCATGTTTAATGCATAGTACTGCAACTTTTGACAATAATGATTACAAAATATAGTATGAATGTTGTCATTTTATTCCTATTTTAAGAAGAAAAATATAGTGGTCATATTTTCAAATTCTAAAACATGTTTATGATGTTTTCTTTTGGACTGAAATTTGTGGGTCTAGTCTGGTCTGGTCTGGTAAATATCTGGTCTCTGTGTATTTTATAACTACGGAAGTCTAGTCTAGTCTGATCTGGTCTAATACTAAAAAAACCATCCAAAAGGAAACATCCTTAGTTCTATTTCATGAATTTTACCTTTCTAAGTTATTATGAACATATCTTTGTTTAACAACTATCATGAATGAAGCCCTAATTTAGACATAAACTCACCCATTCAAAGAGCAAATTGACTAGCTTTCGGGAAAGACATTTGGGTCTCGTGTATAACAAGAGACTGAGAGAGGAGTGATCACTGATAACTTAGGTCGCAATCAAGGTACAACATACCTTATGTCTACGCCATACTTGGAAATGAAAGCGGACACATTCTGAGCCACCCAAGCCTCGGCGGCGCTGACGCTGGCGGCGAGGCCGGCCAGCATGTCGTTGGGAATTCCGACCATCACCTCGATCCCCGACCTCCCCAGCGCCCTCAATATCGGACCTTCCGCCTCGAACAGTTTCACCTTGTCGAACCCGTTGTCCTTCATCAGCTTCACTACGATGTCCGGCGGCAGCGGATGCGTTGCCCTAGACCCCAAATTGCATCCCAGTCCCTCCACTCCGGACAATTTCCCTCCTTGCCCCCCCACCGCCATCACCGCCGCCACCAACCACATCCACCTCCGAAATGATACGCGGAAATCATTATTATTATTACTATAATAACAATGATGATCCTCCATATTCAGTTCTGTGAATTACTTATTAATATCGGGACAGGCCTTTGTAAGATATATTTAATTAATAATATATATAGGATGGGGCAGGGTTATTAGAAAGATGGATTACTTTTCATTGGAGATAAAGTAACGAATGGATTTTTGGACAATTCATTCAAGGAGTTTCTGGATTCGTTTCGTTTATTGATCATTTTCGGCCTTCCATAAGGCGGTCTTTCAAAGTGAAGAATATCAAGTTCAGAAATGGACGATGGAGTAGCTAGCTAGCGTGCATGTGGAAGCAATATAGGCCTGATCTAGGCATTGATTAATTAATTAATTAGATTCTGTTAATCATATGATCAGGATTAATTACATATTCCTCCTTTATGTATGTTGATTGTTGAGGGGCAGTTGGGGATAATGGTCGAGAACAGAGCAGCTCAGAGTAGTTTGACTCTCCCGACTCCGGTCCGGTTGGACTAATTATGGTTAGCGAACCATATTGTTAGAGCGTCTCCATTAATGTCACTCAAATAACAACAATGCTTGATGTACTCATTCTTATACTCACCTTATATCCACCATGTTTGTGAATGTTTTTTTTTGTCTGTGAATCAGGTTCACAGACAATATTTTGTTTGTGCAAAATATTGTTTGTGAACCGAGATTCAAAGACAACAAAAAAACTTCACAAACATAGGTGGGTACAAAAGTGAGTATAAGAGTAGATACAAAGATCATTTTTGCTCAAATAAATAGATTTTTATGGATCGTTGTTAACACTTCATTGCCACATATTAAAAACTTAAATAATCTCATAATCTATTATTCTTCTCTCAACAATGATTTTCATTTACTGAGATTATTTATGGGACATGTAAATGCACTCACACACAAATAGAGGGCAAGTCTTTTATGAGACATGTAAATGCACTCACACACAAATACAGGGCAAGTCGTTACCCACCAAGTAGTAATGCACATCACAAATTTCAAAGCCTTGAAAAAATAAAAAGTTGGAAATAATCTCAAATTAATCTAGATTCAAGATTTGATATCAGATTTTTTTTCTAAATAATCTCACATAATAATATCATCTTCTCAATGATGACATCAATAAAGATCTTCCACATCATCAAATTGATCTCCAAATAAACTCAACAATGGGAATGCCCTTAGCATTGTGGATTTGTGCCTTTGTGGGTAGTGAAAAAGGATTCTCATTCTTGGGTGGACCGGAAAATTGGAATGAACCAAACATTCTGATCTAGTTCGAGGCCCAGGGGCGGATTCATAAATGAGAGATAGTGTGAGTTAAGTAATAAAAAAATTGGTACTCCACACAAGATTTAGCTTATGTCTGTTATTAGTTTTTTTTAAACTACTCGAGTTTGAGCTTAATTTCAAATCTAATTTAACGAATTGAGTTTAACGAATTTCGAACTTGAACACATGCTAGATTTTGAATTCGAATAATTATTTAAGTTGAGTTCGAGCACAGTGATGTTCGGTTCAATCCGGACTCGAGCCTATTGATTACTTATAATTATGCAGAAGGGATGCGTAAAATATACAGTATACCCGGTTGTACGGTCCTCACCTTAGAACCGGGTATTTTTGCAATTATTCACAACTGAGATGTCATTTACTCCTCTGTTTATCATATGCTTTTCCCAACCCCGATTCCGGCACTACATCTTCGAGCCGTTCAGATGCTTCCTCCCGAGAAATCAACAGTCAACAACCCAATTCGAATAACTTTCATGGAATTAACATGGCACTTGCAGATGAATCAAACAATTGACAAATTTACGTCGTTGAAGAAGATGGAGTAGCCGCCTGAATTGAAGTGGATTCTGCTAGGGATGACTCTGACTAGAAGGAGGGAGTTGCATATCTCGGCAATTGCAATTAATATAACTTCTCCACTGTCAACTTTTTTAGACTTCCACTTCTTTTTTCGTTTTCATTCTTTTAATTGTGTTAGCAACGTAACTTTAATTTTAGAATTTTAAAATGAATTAATTGAGATGAAAATTTGATTAAAAACAATTCTACCTCTTTCCATTTGATTAATAATACTCAATTGGATTTAGTACTCAATTTAGGAGATTTGATACTCAATGAAAATGTTTTGATACTCAAGTAACAAAACTTATGATTTTTATGTCAGTACTCATTTGATAAGTTCTGTATGCTCATTTAATATCGGTGTTATGCTCATTTAAAAAATGGTATATTAATGTATATTTCAAAAGTATCATGTTACATTAGATTCACGTATGAGTTGATTATAGATACGAGAGTACATACCATGATACTCATTTTGATGTCTCTAATACTCAATACATGAGCTTTGATGCTCAATGAAAATGATTTGATGCTTAACTGAAAAGTTTATTATTTTCATATCAATATAATGCTCATTTTGTAAGTTACGTATGTTCAATTGATACTCATGTTATGCTCATTTTAAAAATGTAATATCAATTCATATTTCAAATGTATATATTTACATTAGATTCACATAAAATTACTATATTTGTAATTCGAGAACGAAAGACTATATTATTTTTGACATAAAATTACTATATTTGTGATTATATGTGCATAAATGAATATTTGAACACATTAGAGAATTCAAATGAGTTTTGAATTTTTATGCTCATTTTGTAAACTATATATGTTCATTTGACACTGGTTTTATGCTCATTTTAAAATGTCATATTAATGCATATTTTAAAAGTAACATATTTATATACATGGGAGCATTGATCGTGATACTCAATTGCATGCTTCTGATACTCAATAGAGAATGTTTGATGTTCAATAAGATGTTTTGATATTCAAATAACAAAGCTTATGATTTTCATATCATTCCTTATTTGGTAAGTAATGTATGCTCATTTTGTACCAATATTATGCTCATTTTAAAATGTTATATCTATGCATCTTAAATTCGCATAAGAGTTGATTATAGACACGGGAGTAGAGATCATGATACTCAATTGCATGCTTATACTACTCAATAAAGGAGTTTTGATGTACAATGAAAATGTTTTGATACTCAAGTAACAAAGCTTATGATTTTCATATCATTGCTCATTTGGTAAGTAATGTGTAATCATTTTGTACTGGTGTTATGCTCATTGAGTATCCAAAGTATATATTTCTCATTTTCATACGAAGTATATAATAATATTTTATTAAATTGTTAACAACGAATTTACTACATGTACATATCATAGAAAAAGGTTTATGTTATATTCAAATGAGCATAACGATCAAAAGAAATGAGCATACATAAATAAATTTCGAAACTCATTTTGTAAGTTACGTATACTCATTTGATATTAGTTTTGTGCTCATTTTAAAATGTCATATTCATGCATATTTCAATACTATCATTTACATTAGATTCACATGTGAGTTGATTATAGACACGGGAGTAGAGATAATGATACTCAATTGCATATTTCTAATACTCAATGGAGGAGGTTTGATGCTCAATGGAAATGTCTTGATGTTCAACTAACAAATTTTATTATTTTCATATCAATGCTCATTTTGTAACTTACTTATGCTCATTTGGTAATGCTGTTATGCTCATTTTAAAATGCCATATCAATACTTATTTCAAAAGTATCATATTACCTTTGATTCGCATTTTGAAATTCTTAGGAGTTGATTATAAATAAAATTTATGAATTTTTATAAACGAAAAATAAGAAAATGAAAGTGAATTAGAAGATATAAAGCTAAAATCACGATGCTCATTGTTAGTCTTTAATACTCAACAGAATAGGTCTGATGCTCATTTAAATTGCATTATTGCTCATATAAGAGAAACCACTATTTTCACCAAAATTGCATCATGCACTAATTGTTTTTGTACTCCACTTATGTCATATAGATCAATGCACAATTCATTTGTGCTCATTTTAAAATATTATGTTAATTTACATTTTTTGAAGACATATACTCATTTCAGTATACTGTAAAAATCATTTCAAGCATATACTCATAACTAATGTATACCCATATGAAGTACGTAGTATTTGTTATGCTCATTTGTAATATCAGACATTTGCACATTGTTTAAACATTACACTCATGTAAGTGTATAATATAAAAAGAGATGAACTTCACTTATAAATTTTATCAAACAGTTGGTAGGCATTTAATATGAGGCTTATGAGCCACTTTAGAAAACTATAATTATACTAGTAGGAGAGGAAGACAGATTATCCTGCTCAAGTAGTCATTCAATTAATTTATTTGGAATTTGTAAGATCCAACGTAGCTTACATACCCGTAGATTAAACTGAGAATTATAGATTTAAAGAAAAAACATGATAAAGCCGGGTGAAGAGAGCATCCGTTTTTCACTTTTAAGTGGTCACGTGAAAACATTTGTTTCCACCACCCTCAATTTCTTTCCTCCTCTTGCCGGCCATTTTGCTACAAATTAAACGAGGGGGATGAGAAGAATATCATCTCTACCATTTTTGTGGACAACAATAATTTAGATGTCAAGTTCGTGGAAGCCAGGCCTCGAGAGACGGTGCAGAGAAAGACGTGTGGGCTTGGCAATGGAGGAAGGCTTTGGGAGATTTAAGTAGTCTGTATGAAATAGATCTAAAGATCCATCAAATTACAAAAAAAAAAAAAACTGATGTAAATATACATCCGGGTGTATAGTATAGGAACTTGAAGTGATGGAGCGCGAGTCCTATATTAATTAATGTGAAAAAAGAGTAGATTTTATTCTGTATAATAAGAATGTTGATATTTCCAGAAAGGTTCATATAAGGTCAAAAGATTAGCTCATCAAAATCTGAATGAACAACACTATTCTGGAGTTCAAAATCTGAATGAACAACACTATTCTGGAGCTCAAAAGATTAGCATATACTATTCCTAGTATATGCTAAAAAATAACCAACATTCATTTCCATCTCTTGCTGTCCTTCAAATACCAGCTTGAGCTAGTTTACATCAACAGCGCTTTAACTTGCATGTTTAATAAATCGGCAAGAGCTCCACGTACATCCATCTGATGATCATTCGAAAAAATATAAGAACTTCTATATACAGACACACAATTCTGGATTAAGAGCATAATTCTAACAACATACGAAGCATATAATTTATTTTTCTTTCATTTTATAATACACTTGGGAATATGATAAAATAATACCTGGTCACAGCACATCAGGCTAGTAATCAAAGGATAAAACTCTTTGAGATGATTCCTGAAAACTTGGCTGTTCATATGCGACATACCCTTTAGTACCTGTAAGACCGTGTATGTATGTGCATCAATAAAAAAAATGGGGCAGCCGGTGCATGAAGGCATCCCTGCAAGACGAGGGGCTGGGAAAGAGTCCCACAACAAAGGGTGTATAAGGGGCAAGACTTCCCCTTCAAATACTATCGTACTCCCTCCGTCCCTTATAACTTTGCCAACTTTCCTTTTTTGGATGTCCCATTAACTTTGCAACTTTCCCTTTTAAGTAGAGAGTTTGTGGTTCCAATTAATTCTCTCTCCTCTGCACAAACCTCAACCACATAGTTTTTACTTTATCAATCCACGTGCCGGTCAAACTTGACAAAGTTATTAGGGATGGAGGGAGTATTTGACAAGAGGCCCCCCCCCCAAGACTTGGACACGTGATCTCTCGGTCACACAACAATCATAGTATCATACTAAAAAACGTTGGAGTATATTTTAGTGTTCTCATAGCCCATGATTATCTCTAATTTTGAGAAAGATTGAGCATTAAAATGTTCCCAAAATTTCAAACTTAGCATGAGTTGGAATTTTAAATCATTTATATGAAGTTTTAAAATAACAAGTTTACACTCAAAAATTACTTTTACCTATCTTGGGATGGATTTGGGACAATACATACAGTGAGCACGCTATAGTGGCCATACACTTACGTGCTATGTAGGGGTTCCCAAATTTGCTTGGAGTTGGGTTTGGGAACCCCTACATAGTACAAACAGCTATGATATGAAGATTAGAGTAATTCAGCTGTCCAAAAAATGAGACATGTTTTCAAACACTTCTTTGTCCCAAATTTGCTATGATATGAAGATTAGATGCTTAATCATACAAATCCGCTCTTCCTATCATTCGCCAAAAAAGAGTAACAATCAAGTTATGTATGATAGACTTTGCTAAACTACCAAATAAATATTAAACATATAAGTAGAAGTGAATGGTTTATAGGAGTTATACCTTAATTTTTTAACTAGTAACTCAGCCAATATTACTCTTCTTTATGGAAAGAGGAATAGTATAGGACTCGTAGCATAATTAGAACTAGTGGTGAATTTTGGAAAAACATATTACATACCTTGACGATGACGGTGGAACGTAGTTCAAGAACTTGATGGGCTTCTGTACTAATGCCACCCCCCATGCTGAATTGGAAGTCAGACGCCTCCCTCAGAACCTTTCCACAAAATGACACTAGCTTCTGTTCTGCTATTCCATGAATATCATCTTCTTCAATTTCCACTTTAGACGTTTCATGATCACTTCTTGCCAAATGATCTATATTTCGAGATATACTGGTCTCCTCATGCATTTCATCTTTTTCAGCATTAATTTCTGCAGTTGCCTTATGTAACATTTCAAGGTATATGGAAGTTCCTGCTAACTCCTGGCGGATGATATTCAATGGAGGCCTGTCAGAGGAATAAAAGGGACTAAAACATCGTGCAAGGTCCTTTTGGGATCCTTTTGGAACCCTTTAAATATATGGAAAGAAAATATGGACAAAAATGAGAGAATATTTGGATGGAAAGAAGATATACAGCGATAATTTGAGGGGAAATTTTGGTTTGAAATCAATAAATCAATTTTAGATATTTTTTCAAACACAATTTTTTTATATTTCTACTATATCATGACTAAGATGTACAAATATATGTAGAGCTTTAAAAAGTTCAATCAAATCTGATTTTTTATCAGGCTTTCCAAGTTAAACCCAAAAGTGAAAGACTATATTTCGGCTCTCCAAATATACCTTAAGGAATTTCGATCTAAAATAATTTCAATACATAAACCCAACCTTTTGGCAGCAAGTTGGTGTGTTCGTAATCTGAGACTTGAATATGAATTATATGATGCTGCAAACTCTACCAGAGATAATAAAATGTCCATTAGAAAGATCTTCTGAGCTGCCTTCAACTTGTTCCAATACTTTTTCTGAATATTTCGGAAGAGGCAGAAAGATATATTGATCAAGTCAGAGAAGTGATTACAAAAAATATTAAAAAGTAAATATATTTTCATAACCAGAAAGAAATCTTGTTTTTAAATAATCGTGGTGCATGTGTGTGCACCTTATCACTGCAAGTAGCATTTGTATAGTTTCTAATTACTTTCTATAATCGTAGCATTTCTATAGTTTCTATCATCATTGGGCAGTAGCATATGTGAGCTTAATATTTACTGAGAAGAAAGAATGAGATTTTCTGTGAAACAGTAAAAGGTGAAAAGGCAAAGCAGGGCATTAACAGGCCTGAATACTATCAAGAGCACCAAGAATCAGTAATTGTGTGATGCATTTGCTCCTAACTGTTGCCAACGCTGAACTTTCATCCTCATGGCTTGCATCTGGCTTCAGATTTTCAGAAGTCTGCACATTAATATACAGGTAAAAGCCATTAAAAAACAGAAGAGCCTCTCTTTTTTCGTATAATGGTTCAATTAGCATCAACAGGAACAGAAATGGCTTCGACTACAATGCATTTTTCCCTTGTTCAAGGAAAAACCTTGATAGTTAATATTTAGTACTACTACGAATACAATATAATTCCAATGTATTAATTTCTCCAAGTCTATGTAGCTGTGATATACTACAGAAAGAAAAGAAAATGCCAATGATTTCTTTAACGTTTGGATTTGCCTCTGAAAATGCCAAGGAAAATTATATACGAATGATATTTTTAAAATATTAATTGAGTTTGAACTTTGTAGCAATGTTTTTATTTCCTAAACATTTTCTTTCCATCTAAAATTTTCTAATAGACTTTTACTTTCCTTCATGTTTTCTTTCCCTAGCATTTTACGCATTCCTCATGGACGCTAAGTCGCTAAGAAAGAAATAGTATCCTTTCTGTGTTTCGCATGGACCCTAAATAATGAAAGAAATAGTTCCACCTTTAACATACTTTCTTTACCATTAACATTCTACTCGCAATGATAAGAAGTGGCAATTACCTTTGGTGGAGGCATTAAAACTTCACTCCTCTCTTTGGATCTAGAGGTAAATTTTTTGATAAATAGATTGTCCATCATATTTCCCATAATTTTCTGACCTATTGTTTGACCTTCAGAAGCAGTGGGTTCCAAAGCTCTTCCAGAAGGTGAAGGCATCCCTATAGAGGAGGGAGACATTTCTTCTGTAACATATTTTATATGCTTATGTCCATAAGAACCAAAATATTGAAGACCTAGTTGTACTTACAAAGTTAATTTAAAAGTTAAGATTCAAAATGATAGATGAATAGTACTTTCCATCCAAAGATGTTCCTCCCACATTTCTTTTTGGACCGTCCCATAAAGTTCTTCACATTACCTTATAATGAAAGAATATTATGGAACAGACGGGGTAGAATTTAAAAAGTTGGTGCTAACCGTCAATTTCTTCCAAATCATTGTGCTTCTTCACCTGATTGTCTTCATGCATGCGTAATGCATTTTGAGACTTTACAGAAAAATCTGCAGCAGTAATTGCTGACATCATTCCAGATGTTTTCCAATTCTCAATAACACAATTAACATTACAATGATAATTATTCAGTAAATCAGTACTACCAGAAAAGTTGGTCTCACTCTGTGGTGAAGAGGAACTTGAACCTATAATTGACATGGTCTGATCATTTTCCTTCCGTAACACCAAGTCATTGAGCAGTTCAAGAGGCTTTGTCGTGTACGATGCATCACTGTGGTGAATTTAATATTCAACAAATTATAATTTTTGTAAACATGACAACTGTACAAAGTAACAAAACTCAATAAAAGTACTTGTAGTCAGTCACCTTATGCTTTGCAACAAGGTGTCCCAGTCGCTTTGACTAAACTGAGGTCCACCTACTTCAATCAGATGGACTAGTGCACCCAAAGAGACCGAAACCACTTGCTGATCAGTCTTTTTGGCACAATCTAACAGCAAACTGAGAAGCGGGGGCAGCATAAAAGCAACAGCCTACAGAAAAAAAAATAAGGATGTTCATGAATGTGAAAATTTACTAATGATACCGTCCATAAAAAACACTTTAAGAGAAATGAATTAATTCCACTTTTGGTTCTACGAGTATTATGTTCATTCCATATTTGGTCTGTGTCTTTGACTTTCCCACTTTTGCTACATGTCTATTGTTTCTTGCTCATATATGGTCCTTCAGACAAATTTCCTGTCCACTCAGACTTAATAAAGTTTCTAGCACTAAACCCGTATTTTATGGTAAGTTGTTTTATGAAAGTTCCTACAGATATAAATTAGGTTTCTGCATCTGCATTAGGAGGCGATAGTTTCTACAGAGCAAGAAATAAGGAAATTCTTGGGGAATTGGATATGTCATAATATTTTGGTACTAAGTTCAACAGAGCTAAGATTTCCTCATTATTAAAAAAAATCAGGAAAAAAATGCAAACATATTTGGAATGTGCAAAGTCAGCATTACTGCATAGTACTTTAAATAAATTCTAATTTTCTGGCATAAACATCTAAGCAGACCACATCACACCCATTATTACCTCGTAAAAGGTGCTGAAAAGGTTGCACAGCAGTCGAAGTGAGTGAATGCTATTTTCACGAACACCTTCATATATGCAGGAATCTGAGTTCTCTTTTTCAGCATGCCTTACATGATCAAAAATGGGAAATAACACACGGCGGAAAACACTCTCCCAAAATGAGGATGAAAACTTGTTGCCCCTCTCGTTCAACAGATCAAACAAAACCTCAAGTGCACAGTTTTTAACCTCTAGCCGCTGATCAGATGTTAGATCAGAGAGACCAGCCAGTATTGGGAACCAATAATCTTCTCTTATATGATAGCTTTTAACTGCACTAGTATCGTATGATTCCAAAGAACCACCTACTATGAATCCCTGCAGAATAAAAGTAAACAAAAAAATTACCATTCAAGGTAATTGGGCAAGGTATGAGCACACTTGTGAGGAATTAAATAAAAGAGCTTGATGAGGCAAAGCTCGTGTAAAGTTCCAAATCAAATGTGCCTTTGTTATATTTGTCTTCAAATTGCATTGCTGATGAGTGGGAAGAGACTGATCACTTCCTCTACTCATCACCAACTCCATACAATAACTGTTTATCTTTCCCTTCATTAAGGTTTTTAAAATCGATCAACTAATTTAAGCATGATCTTAAACAGAAATTCCCTAAATAGGAGTAAAAACATTTAAAATTTAAAAATAGCACTTTGTTTTTGTCCAAGTAGGAGTAATCAATGATGGGAATGCCAAAATATATGCAAGTAAGATTTCAGGGTGACAGTAATTTACTCTTGTTTCGGGAAAAAACACAGAACTCGTATTTTCGAATTTAACATTGATTTTACTCCTATTCCGGGAAATTTCGCTATCATAAACTAGTGCTGCATAAAATTTCAACACATTATCGTCATCACCACATCTATATCAACTACGGGATCAGTGGTTTGAAATTTATAGTGTCAATTAATTGTGTAAACTTAGTTAGCAAAGGAATAATTATATGAAATCCAAATCCATCATCATATTCAAGGTTCTTTCTACTTACACTGTTGCACATATAAGATCACAATGATGAGTTGAAATGGTTTCTGTAGTTATGTCACAATATAAGATTGGTATTGTACGACCATCATGCACATTTTTGTACATGACCAAAAAATTCAAACCACCACTGATGGTAAAAGTTTGTTGTACATATATTTTAAAAATATATACGGTCCTCTCTGGTTCATGGCAGCCCACATTGGGTTAAGTGGTCACCAAATTAGCAGTTCAACAAAATGTTGAAAGTGGCAATTTGAATCTCAAAACTATAAAATAGCATTAGAGCCTCAACAGTTTTTTATGAGTAAAAAAAATAAAAATGTTGCAAAGTCAAAATTTGAGATGAACATGGAGTGTGAGAGCCAAAATTCGCCTTTTATAACATGCCACATGGTCCACATCTAGGACATGATTGTTTGCCTTGTGGGCCTTATGGCAGGTAATAAAATACTGCTTATTCGAAGGTCGTATTGTTTCGAATTACTCCAGTTTCTATCTTCATTTTTGCAGTATTTTATAAAAACACTTCAAAAAATGAAGGTAGAAATCACCAAAGTAATAAGCTCATGAAACCAAAATAAAGGATAATAACCTCAGCAAGGCGATCCTCACAAATATGAATGAGTGCAATTGCCTTCAGGCTTATTCTGTGAGAGCACATATTTTTGGCAAACCCGATTAAGCAACTGACACAGTCCACAAAACAGTTTCCAACAATCTGATCAAAGTGTTCCAAGATAACTGCACAGAACTTCATTCAGTTCATGGTCACGCTTATTGAAAAATCAAACAGTAAACACCTAAAAGCCAACGCAGAATTTAAATACCTACCACACGTATAAGACCTAAACAGATCAAATCAGAATGTTTTAGAGAACTTGTTATGAGAGGGGTACCAAAGAAGGTATGCTTGCCTTGTTCTACATTTTCAAATGCAGTTTCAACAATTGTTTCTATTGCATCCTCTGCAGCAGCTGTGAAAACCATAAACACACTTTTCCAGCCAGAGGTCAAGTTCACAGCCTTAGACTTTACTATCTGCTGATGCAATAGAACAAGTCAAATTTCAAATGCAATAATAAAGTTGAGCCACCTGAGAAAAGAGTGCATACTTGTACTATGCAATCAACAATGCGTTTCCTCGTGGATTCACTATTGCTGTCACGCATAAGAGACACAAATGGATGCAAAATATCATTCTGGAATCTGAAACTTGTGACTTCTGTGTGCTCCAAACACTTCATGGCAAGCTGCTTAAGTGACTCTATGGAATACACATTTACTCTTTCATCAGGATGGCTTCCTGTATAAATTAAATGACTTGCCAGCACAGACCATATCCTTGCCCAAACCTGAGTAATGTATATTACTTATGGCGATCAATTGCATTTACAAACTACAAAATGAAAATAGTTGACGCATACTTCTTTTCTTCTTCAAATAAATACCTAAAAACAGACTCATTGGCAGCCTGCAACAGAGAATGGTCATACAATAGCAATGACACACGATAGTGTCCATATGAGATCAAATGAAGTTTAAATCAGCTTCCACCATAATAGTGAAAGACCTTTTTTTGTGTGTTCATACAAACTATTTTTATTGATCTACTTATGTGTGTAGTGGGTCTCCCTTTTCTCTATTTTAACTCTGATTTCATATATCGATTCATATTAGCTGATCCCAAACTCTTTTTCGGACTAAGGCTTGGATGGTATTGTTATATATAACATCTCATCTCTTCATTTAGATTTTTTTTCCTACACCAGTTTTATATAAAATAATAAACTACTACCTCCATCCCACTAAACATTGGGACATGAGGAGGTGGTGTGGTTATTAAGAAAAGTGAGTTTATGTGGTTGTTATTGAATTGATAAAGTAAGAAGATAGTAAAAATGATTTAGAACCACACAAACTTTACAAAATTTGGTATGAGACAATCTTAGTGGGACGGACCGAAAATAAAAGATGAGACAATCTTTGCGGGACGGAAGGAGTAATACATAAACTTATGACTTATTCCTCCTATCAGCCTATCAGGTTAGGCTTTTAAGGTGAACTCAGACTTTAATTTCATATTAGAGCTTGATCCAGTTGCTGTTTGATGTTTTTGAATTTTGACACACATGATTTAGGATTAAATCATTCAGAGTCTGTTTGGCTTATTTATGCACCCTCAAGATGTCTAAAATAATAAACTAACATATGAGATTATGAATTACAAGTTCATGTATTAAAAGATGTCATTTAAAAAAACACAATACAACAACATTACCCCAGTGCCACAAAGGCTCCCACAAAGTCTTACCCCTATACTAAAGCATAGAGAGACTGTTTCCGGATGATCCATAAAAAATATCAACACAATGGAACAAAAAAAATGTTTGATTTACCAGTCTAAAATATGTACCCAAGAAACTGAATGACTATGCTAAAAGATTTTTTTGGCAAAACCATTTTAGAAATGACATGCTTTTAAGAATAGTATAGTATGATGATACTACTATAAATCATACTAAAATTGTAGCAAATGCGAAAAAACAACTAATGCTCATTTTAAGATTAAATCATATGTAGTAATTTGGAAATGCATTACTATCATGTGGACTATGAAATCAGAGATAGAGCATTTGTCATATCATAACCCCTCCCTGTTGGATCCAGTCGGATGGCACTAATGGATTAAAAGTTTGGAATGAAGGCAAGGAGTTATCATGGTTGTGAGCATCACAAACCCACTGGTTAATGCACAAGTCCTTTGTGAAATAAAATGCGTCAAAATATGCTTCTCAAATGAGTTGAGAATTACCATTCTTATACGAGGCATGTGGTAGTAGCTTATGTCAACAAGTTTTTCCAAGCTAAATAAGCGTGCTGGAAGCTGACTTAGTTCTTCAATGGAAACATTACATAAAGCAGTGAAAAATTCCACTGCTGATTCACTGGGCAACTTAGCACTATTAATGAACATCCTCTCAGCAGGTTTTCCAGCCAGATCTCTCAATGATTGAAGAAGGGAATCTCGAGACATTTGATTAGATCCTTGCATCATATTTGCAGCCATAGAAGGAGATGATGCAACATATTCAAGACGAGAAACAGTCTCTAGCACTGCATACCATGTATCTCGAAGTGCATTGTTATCGGAATCACATAAGAGCAGCAGAGTCTGCAATGCTTCCAGATTCTTATTTCTCATATCCTTCGGCGAATGCAGCATACTAAGTCTGTAAAAAAAAGCACATTTTACCTCATTGTCAAGAAAATGCAACAGAATTGTCTTCCCAAAATACCATGACCTTTTCAAATATCTAAACTACAGTCACGATTCTGTAAAATTGTAAGATGTAAAATCAATAAATATTCAGCAAAAAAAGAAGATGAAAGAAGTAGATAAACATGAACAATAATAGGTAAATTTGATGCATGCCAAAATAATAAATGAAAGAAATTACTTAATCAGAGATGTCAAGAAGGCACAACGCATGGTATCCAAATCAAGAATATTTGTGGTGTGAATTCCAATTTTAAACCCTTCCATACAAAGAGTGGCCCTTGGACTATTATCTCCCTCCTCCATAATAACCGCAAGAGTAGCAAGAAGTGGCCATCCTACAGCTTCAACCATAGAGCGCACTACTTCGATATTGTACGAAGTACAAAACTCGCTTCTTATCTCACTTTGATCCTTGAAAATAGATTGTTTCTGTGCATTGACAGGCTTCATTTTGGTCTTGGACTCCATCAAATACTTCTTCCACGGTGGAGTTAGATTAAGAACACTGAGCAGTTGCACTTTTTCCTCCATTTTGATTTCTTCTTCAACAATGGAATCATAAATCTCCTCCAATAGTTCCTTAAGAGCATATTCATCAGTTTCTTGCATGTTATTCATGTGTATGAAATCATCCTTTGACATCTTTTGCCAGACAATTGAGCTATGGGCATCAATGTTCAGCAGTAAAACTTTATATGCTAGAGCATAAGCTGTATCTGCATGCTTGAATAGATTGGTATTGGCCGCACAGTAACTGTTAAAAGGAATTAAGGAAAAGCAAGAAGGTCAAATTTATCCAAGCCACTGGACATTGTACGTCCGAGGGTGCTCTTCCACAAGATTTATTGATAAAGAGATAATTTGAGCCAAGTGCAGCAGATATATTTGAAGCAAGTAATCAGACTCACGCCATGTCTAAGATGTTAAACAACTATCCTCGACATGCCATATATTTCCACATAGGTTTCCCAAAAAAGATATATAACAACAGAGTTAGAATCTTAGAATTTCAACTGTTAAACTTAACTAGTTATTTCACAAACATTAGCTACATGATTTTTTCCTAAATCTGACAGGCAGAATAGAGATGGTTGTTATAGGACCATTAATTAAGTTGAAGAAGTTAGTATGCCCAATAACTGAGGGTCTGTTTGGATTTTAAGGGAGAGCTTAGACTCTATTTAGATAAATAGAATGTTTCTATAAACGATTAAAAGGTGATTGAAATGTTATACAATCACATATTACGTTACTCTTTCTGTTTTATAAAATGTCAAATATATATCAAGATTATAGACTTAACCATCCAAAGAGAGCATAAAACAGCCTGTCATATTAGGGTTAAGCTTCACCTAAAATACATTAATTTGACAATCTGCTGCATAAATAGAAGAACTAATACAAAGATACATGAAGAGCCTGTTTGTTACTTTCGTGTGAAACCAATACTCTGTGAAGTCTTTCATATGAAAGACTTTACCATGTAAAAGTTGCCAGCGAAAGTAACAGTAAGTGTTTGATATATGTGTGTAATGTTATAATTAAATTACACTGAAAATGGTTTCACAACCACGTGCTTGGCATAATAAACCAGTAACAGGAAATTTAGAACAAAAAGAATCACTCCGGTGTGATCTGTATCACACCTCTACTCCCTGTAAGGTTTGAGGTGTGGTACAGGTAATAAATTACAAAACATGTGAAAGTAAATTGCTCCCTTAACTTTCATACGAAATAGTACTCACGGGTACCAAGTTGGCTCAAAGAAGATAGACGACCAATAACATACCACTCTGCAAACTTTTCCATTATGCGGTCTATTTTCTGAGCTTCTCTAGGAAGTTGCAATCCTCTAAGAAGTTCCCTAATGGCCATATCAAACTTCACTCCAGAAAAATTTATAGATTCAACATAAGCATGCATGGTAGCGGCTGGAAACTCCTCATGCTGGCCTAAGTACTCACCGATCATGGCCTGAAATACAATGCAATTAGATCATTCCCTTTTGCAGTGATTTATTAAATAAAGAGATGAGCCCCTTGACCTTATCCAGATTTGGAGTATTCTTGAGAAATTGAGCAACTGAAGCAGGCGATCTGTCCACCTTCCTACTTGATATCAGATATTCTATCCCCTTAGTTGGTTGCCTATTAAACTGCAACACGAAGCGTCAAGACTAATAGATTATGTTATTCAGTTATTCCAATAAATCACTTTGATATATATTCCACGAAAGCAAATGAAATGTAGAGAACAAATGAACCCAGAAAAAACTATGTATAAAAGCAAAACTTACTTCGGAGACAGCTGCTTGTATGGTAGAATCATATGCCTTCAACTTCTCAAAGTCACATGGTAAAGTTTTACTACGTCTTACATCATCCTGTCCTCCACTTAATCCTACTTCAAGAGACTCCTTTACTATTAGAGGTTCTTTCTGACAGTTCACCCAACAAACAAGTGACTTCAACACAGCCACAAGACACTGAAGGCCAAAAACCGGGGGGGATGTCATTAGAATCAAGCATATCCTTTCCATCATCAGAAAACAATTAGGTCAGGTAGTAGACACCTGAAGGGATGACAGCTTGAGTGCACCAATCAGAGATGAAGCAAATGAGCCCAGATCCGTACTTTGTGCCCCTTGAGCAATTCTAGATAATGTTTTCACCTGTATGAGAAAATCAAAGAAGCAAGTTGCATAAAATGCAATAAAGAAGCATTTAATTTTGAAGAAAATGCATAGTTCAAACATGTGTATACCATGTGTTCAAACAAGTTAGGTGCTTTGAGCTCACAATCATAGTTCACATATAGGTCAATAAGAATCTGTGAGTCATTACAGACTTTTTCAAGCATCCTGCAAGAACGTATATTAAATCCACAGAATCTCAATAGCTCTTTCTCTGTGTATTAACACTAAAGAACTTATGGCCATATTTTAAATTTATCTCAAGTGACCAAGAGAGTATGCCCAAACTATGAACGATACCATAATGAAAAGTAAGAGATCTACTACGCATCAAATTTATTACAATCTTAATAAATTTCTTAGTTCATTATTTCTTTCCCGGTGTCACGTAATATTTAGGAAGCTTAATGAGAAATGCTAAAAATATAGACTGCATGGAAACATGGGAAAACATGAAACACTATTACTCAACAGTAAAAACAAGTCTGTGGAGAGTTTCTGTATACTTTCCCCTTCCTGCGAGTTTCCGTGCATTGTAGATGTCTATGAATTAGCAGGTTATACCTGAGAACACCTATTTTTAAGTTCAGGTCATGTTCACCCAATGTGCGTAAGACAATCAAGGGAAAGAAAACCCCAATTTCACCCTGGAACACAAAAAAATCAGATACTCATGGATGTATGTAATAGAGAGTCCTGCAAAAGAGCACAAAGCCAGCATTCTGAAAATTGATTATACCTTAAGGCATTGCCTGTATCGTAACAAAAGTATGGAGAAAATTCCTGTTGCATACTGTGAAGACATGAAATTTATTGGAGAGATATAACATTAAACTATTATGGAAAATAATCAACGGTGAAGGATGTGCTAAAACTGGACCTGAAATATGGCAGTTGTCTGTGAGAGTGATGCTTGCAACAAAGTGTAGGAGATGTGCGCTTTGACATAGCCAATAAAATGCGTGAATGAGTCACTGGCGTCTTCCAGCAGACCCTTTAAATTACAAGAATCAAGTAATGTCAGAAGAATTCTATGTTACAGGTAGAAGAAAAGTAAACCCCATGATTAATGTTCAGGATAGTCTGCCACTTTCCCTACTTTCATCTAATACATTAATATACTAAGTATAAAGTATTTATTTAATGTATTGAAACCATTTTATAAACGAGAAAGAATAGTAAACAATGCAAGAATAAGTTTAAAGAGCCACATGGGATAAGGGTACAGTTTTTATTTGTAAGATCAGAAATTATCATATCGTTTGAAATTAAAGAGCGAAAGCTATTCAAAATGATCCAAAAAATGCGTAAGTATAATAAAATAATAATGGGAGATACAAAAAAATAGATTTTTGTGTTTAACCTCTTTTCTGGATGAAGTGGAATTATGTTATCCATGAAAGTACATAGGAGTATAAATTATGATATAAAAAACCTTCATACTTAAACCCCTTGTTTTAGTAACGTTTTGGAGATGGTTGGGTACTGAGTACAATTAAATACAACAGTTCAACAACTTCTTTAGCTGTAAGTACGGACCTGCAAAAGCTCCAGTGAAAGAATGCATGTTTCAGTTCCAGGTTGGCCATTTTTGTCTTTTGTAGCCATCTGCAAATACAATCTATTCGTAAAAGGGTTCATAGCCGAAGCAATTAACTACATATGTCATCATGGTAACAATGGTACACATACAAACCTTGCAAAGAGAGTGAAAGAGAATCAACGCATCAGGTAGTCCAATGTTAGTGCTTTCTAAATCCATCCGTCTGGTTATTGTTGCAAATTATTAAAATGTTATTAGCATAAAAAGGGCAGCCCGGTGCACATTGGTGGCCCCAAAGGAGAGGGCCTGAGGAAAGGTCCCGCCAGAAGGGTGTAAAGGGGGCAAGCCTGCCCTTGTCATTTTGACAAGAGCCCGCTCCCAGGACTTGAACTTTGACCTCTCGGTCACACTGCAGCAACGTGCGTATATTATGAACTTAAGTCCTGATTTACTCACTTAAAAAGATTAATTATACTACAATAAATTTAGCTTTGGCACTGAATCCATACCCTACGGCACATTTCCCATCTTCAAGTTCCACAGCTTTCTCAAAAACAGCCTCTAAGCCCTAAGAGGCACAAGAAACTGCCGTAAAGTTTCCACAAACAGTACAGAAAGTTGCCAAAACTGAAGAGCAAAAGAGCAATAGTTCTGAAATGGGAAATTCTTGTTACACAGATAGCACCTTAATATCAACCCCGCCCACGAGACTGTAAAGTTCCTCTAGAGCAACGACAAATGCATCCTTGGTTTGATTACTAGAACCTTTATCTTCCAACATCCTTTCTTGTTTATTATGATCATCAGATGGCACATCCTCAATCTTTAAGGTAGGAACAGTTGCTGTAGAAGACACTTGCTGAGTAGCAAAAACAGAAGAAGCAGAGATCTGTATTGTCAGCAAAGCACTATTTCTGAACTATTCTTTCCAGCCTACTATTCTGATATAAAAGGAGTACGAAGTTTATGTAATTCACGTGACAATCACTCCTGTTGCCACCATTTATCTTCCTTCTTTTTTTGGCCATTTCTAAACCATCTTCTCATTTTTTAAGGAATGAATTGTGTGGTTCATATTGAATCTCCCTTTCTAAATAAATCTCAACCACAAATTTTTTTTAAACTCCATGCAAGTCCAGTGGGATGATACATTAGGGACAGAGGGACTACATGTTTACATACCAGGGAACCAGCCTCCATGCGTTTAAAGACCATACTTAAAATTTGGGTTAACATGGATTTTGATGTTGCCTGGTTAATTGGTGATTTGCTGTAGGTTTAGAACAGAAACTATCAGCTTCACTTGACTTCATATCAATATCTACCATAACCATCAAAATACACAGCTAAATACCTCTTCAGAGCTATAGTATAGCATGCTCTAATCACACCCAGCAATGGTTCCCCATGAACTGCATAACATGTATGTGCACCATCACGAATTTTAAAAGGTGGCAAACTTTTGAATTCAATCAAGGAAAAAAAATTGTTCTATCATTTCTAGCAAAATGGTCAAAAATGATGTCAAGCTTTATTTACTGGGTTCATTTCAAAGGAAGCAAAATGGCTTATGAAACTGTCTGCGCTTCTTTGTTATGAAGCAGCAGTCAGTCCTTGCAATTTTTTAAGCGATTTTCACTATGGGTCATCCGGAAACAGTCTCTTTGTGTTTTAGTACAAGGGTAATACCGCATACATCTGACCCCCCTTACCCCACCGAAGGTGTGGGAGCCTTTGCGGCACTGGGGTAATGATGATGATGATTTCAAAGCAAGCAAACATCAAAGAATAGTTGCATACCTCTGAACTTGGTTGATGCCACAGCCGTAAGAAGTACTTTTAAAACTTGAAGAATAGTTCTGCATATAATTTACAGAGTTACTTCTAAGAAACCCCAAACAATGGGGGAATAAAAATTGCCTACAACAATGAGGCTCATACCCATCCGGTAACATATTATCAACGCAACTGCAGACCATGCCCATGATGTCTGAAAAGAGTGGCATGTTTACCCTATCATCAAAACCAAGATCGCCCTCTAAATGATCGTACGCGATGAGTTTCTGCGCTTGATTGGCCATTTGCATAGACAATTACAATCTTCTTATACTTAATGAGGTATATTGCATAAAATGTGTAATGGAACCAACAGCTAAAAGGATTACAAAATGTTATTGTCTAGTATGTCACATGATGCACTAGTAGAAACTCTATCATAGAATGCCCAACAAACGCAGTCCATGAGCAAGTGTTTATGTTTCCTTCTGTTCTGGATTACCAATGTTTCATACCTTACAGATTGAAGCTTTTCCTAAAATCCCTGTCAACCACCTAATCTATGTAATTGATTTTCTTTTTCATTCACATTCTTTTTAAATGCATAGACCAATAGTAGTATGGTACTATATTGTTTTAATTCAAAAATGTAGTTTCACATAAAGAAGCACACCCCATGATAGCTAACTATCCATTTCATACTCTTTGGTGTGAAGAATGAGTACTCCACCAACCCAATCCTATTTTTTGGGGGCTCTGGACACTAGACAACTTTTTGGTCACCTCATCAATTACATTGGAACTTCATTTGAATATACAATACTCTTGTACTAAGATTACGCTCTAACGACGCTACAGTGAGAAACAAAATCTGGGTCTAGATACATACATGAAGACAATCCAAAGCAAGCTCTGTGATTTTTATATTTTTTGTCTCAAAAGCAAGTCGAATAGGATTGAGAACAAGCTCTGCCTCAGATACACTTAGAGTATCGCCTGCATTTGCTAGAGCAGTAGTGATAGTCTTGCTTGGGGAATTTGGGATTGAGTGAGGTGTTCCTGATCCAGCATCAGCTTCAGGCAGACTACTAGAAAGAAAAAGGAGATTTCAATTAATCGTGCTGGAAATTAGTAAATCCATTTAATCAAATGAACATGGAAAGGAGCACTTGGAGAAAGTGGAACACTTCTGTAGAGCTTATTTAATGAACAGGTTAGCATATAAGTTACTAACAGGAGCTCTTGTAACATTTCATACCTCTGTTCTGACCCTTTAGATACCACTACATTACTCTCATCGTGTATAGCTTGCTGATTTGATGCCTTCACAACAACTGTGGTTAAAACGAGTAGGTGTGTTTACAGAAACATTCAAATCACAAGAACCGTTTCATTAGTAGACTAACCTTTTAAGGCATGTAAAGTGGAGCTTCAAGACCAGATATTAAAAATATAAAACTTACCAAATAATTTTTTTCATTTTTATCATTTTTGTAGAAATGCACATTTTGGTCCAATGCCCTTCCTATTACTGCACCTTATCATTTCAACAGGTGATATCTTAAGATGAGTTTGATAAGGAAATATGCATATTTCTTGACATTGCTCAACTCTAGAATGGTTTTTCTGAGTTGAAGAGACTTGCAAGTTGCAACATCTATAGTCCTTTCAGAAGTCAATGATTTAAGCCTTTAACTTCTTAGTCCTAAATGAGCCAACTCATTTTGGAGCCTAAAGGCTCAGAAGAGAAGCAATACTTAATTGATAAAATATGCACTAAGGAACTGAAGTAGTTAGTGTTTTCCATACTTCTTTGCGCCGTTTTTTTTTTGGGTCAATCGAAGGGGAATACTTAGTTGGGCCACAACAGGGGGCTTATCTAGACCTATACACAACTGCCAGTAGAATGTGCAGGCAGAACCATCTTTGATCTTATGCTCATTGAAAAATATGGTCTGTCTTTTATTGTCTACATTATTGTGAAATATTTAGCATCTTATAGACCTCAAGAGTTTCAAGATGTTAACACAGGAGAGCTATCATTTGGAAATTGGAATTCGTATAACAAGGCAAGATATGCTACAATCTTGCACTAGACAACCGGAATAAATCATTACTGGTTAGTTCTTGCGACAAAAAGATGAAAAGCTAAACATTTCCCTTATTAAATGATGAAATAAACAAATGAAGAGTAATACATTGTCCATAAAAATCTCATACGAACCTAAACATTTGTGGATTGCCGTTTGGAGTGAAGAGTACTTCTTACTGGAGCACTCCTTCAGCATGGACTCAAATGCCCGTGTGAGAAAAGCTCCGGCGCCCCCTCCAGCCATTTTTCGTTGATCAAATCGATGACTTCTCAGATGCTATCGTGGTCTATAAATTTTAATGAAACAGGATCGAACAGGATCAAATTCAATGATCTACCCGATACTGATGGTATACATACTACAAACGATACATGAGGGAGAGAGAACGAGAAGGGTGGAAATGCAATACCTCCCGAGCAGAAAATGTTTACTACGAGAGAGTTGCATGAATTTTGGGATCTGGAGCCGAAGAACACCGTTGGGATGTGAGGTGTCAACGCAGACTGTTTATACCGGTACATTTAATATCTGCGGAGTAATAATATGTGTACATCTCATGTACACAAGATGTACACAAGATGTACGCACCATAAAAGGGCAAAATAAAATATTTTCAGATTTTTTACCCCCTTCCCCACCTCTCTCCCACACGTGCGAACATCTTCCCCATTTCTCCCGCCTCTCCACTCTCCACTTCCTTTCTCTTTGATTTTTTTTTTCGATTTCTGCGCATATCCCCCTCGCCGTTCATCCTCTTCGTCTAGCACTGCTGCATCTGTCTTCCTTTCTCTTCCTTGTCGAAGCGCCTCACTGTCTTCGTCTCCAAGCGGCAACCTCTCAGCCGTCTGTAGCAGGCAGTTTCCACTGGAAGAAGCCGGCGCGATGGTTCGTACTTCACTGTCATCTCTTGCTGAGTCTTCAAAAAAACGGTAATATCCTCTTCTTGAACATATTTGTGAGTAGTATTGTTGAATTTCACCCCCTATTGTGTGGTATGTGTTAGTTGTATTTTTTTTTTAAAAATCAATATGAGATTTCGAAGGTGATGGATAGTCTACCCGGGGGGTATCTTATCCGAGGGGTTATTGCGGGAATAACTAGAGAGAAGTCAGAGCAAAATAGGATGAGAGAGAGTCGATTTTATTAAATGAACTCAAGATGTGGATCTGGGATCGTTTACAAGGAGAAATGGGCTGCTATTTATAGCAGCAATAAATGCGATGAGAGTACACGTGTCAACAATCCAACGGCCGAAGGGTCACATCACTCGGGTGGCACCGGCAGTGGCATGCTCACCGCATTGAATGCGGTTGGCGGATGTGACGTTGCATTAAATGCGGTGGCTGGCTGTCTCCAAAGGGAATCTTCGATGATTGACTAGTTGGCCGAAGGCCTCCCCTTCGGCCGAGGGCTCTATGTAACCGAAGGCATGTGGATGTCGAAGACTTCCCTGATGCCGAGGGCACCTTGTGTGCCGAAGGCTCCTGATAGCCGAGGGCTACCATTTTACGCCGTTTTCTCCCAGTGGCTCCTTATGCTCAAAACTGACTGCCCTGTGTAATTTGGAGCCTTCGGTCAAGGAGGCCGAAGGCCCCCATGTGTGTGTCCTGGGCCCCTTTGAAGCTTGGGCCGATGTATTTGGGCCTGAGATGTTCCCTGGGCCCAATGGGCCTTTGCAGGAGAAGTAGGAGTCTATGGGTCGGGGGTTCCTGGGCCATATACTCCATCAGGAGTCCCCCACTCCTTTTGCTGAAAGGCATTTGAGGGAAAAGGAGTAATTTGCGTTGATGCGTTGGTTTCACCGAAGGCTTTAGCTGTACTTGCCGGGAGCTCTCCCCCAGTCCCCCACATGTGGAGGGTTTTCTGAGGAAAGTGTGCATGACGTTCGTATCTTTGCCGAAGGCTTCCTTGGTCCCTCACATGTCAAGGGTTTTCTGAGGGAAGCGTAAATCATATCTGTATGTGTTTTGATGAGGGCTGCTCCATCATCGTTGGTGATTCTGCGGAATTTTCCTGAAATCCTGCTTTGTCGGAGGGTGTATTGATGTATGTACCCGGAGGCTACATGCGTCACTTGTAGATTTCTTGCATGTGAGAATTTTTGTTTTTAGTCATGTGTGATTCCCGAGGGGTGTATCCCAGCCCCCACTCCTTAAGGCCGAAGGCTTAGTTCGGGCTGAAGGAGTTGTGATGTGTTGATGAAATCTCGAGGGATGACAATATTGCCACGCCGAGGGCTTATGCACCTACATGCCCGAGGATGCACCATTGACAAGCCGGAGGCTTATGCTGCTGTAGGCTCGAAGGCGCTTGGTGTAATTCATTGCCTGAAGGCTGCGGGGAGCGATAGCCGGAGGCCACCATTTGAGGGCACTTTAGTGTTCGAGAAATATAGCCGTTGTGATGGAGCCGTTGGAAGAGAGGTCGACGTGGCCGGTTGTCGTTGGTCGACGGTGGGCGGGAGCCATCCATTGGTTGAACCGGCGGCCCGTAATGATGGCCTTTCAAATCGAGGCCCAGTTCTCGAGGCCCAGTTGCCTGTAAATACCTAAGTCCTAAGCCATTTGCCTTGTGCGAATTTTGTTAAGCGAAGCTCTGCCCAAATATTTCTAGAGAGAGAAACATTTGTCTTCGATCGAACCCCTTACTTTCGAGGTTAGTTCTTCACCTGTTCTTCCGCCTTTTCATATATTTTACTTTGTGGCCTTAGATCCGGTGTTAGGGAACCCTTAGGAAGCCCCTAGTCTTTTTTTCCCCCCATACTTCTATCCTCTCGATACCAAAGGATGTCATCAGCAAGCGATTCCCAGAACCTCTCGAGGGAGCCTTCGGTTGTAGCGGAGAGCATCTCTGATACAGAGTCATTGAGCGAGCAGTCCTCGACCAATAATGACCTTGCTGTGGCAGAGGAGGTACAAAGCAACCTTCGGGTTGAGCTGGAGGCTGAAGAATTTGAGCAGGTGGTCGAGGATGAAGAAATGGCTCTCGCGCTCCAGGTAGCCGAAGAAGAGGAAGAGAAAGAGAGGCAGGAAGTCACAATCGCTGTCCTCCCCCTTCGTGGTGCCGGCGAAGCGAGCACCTCCCTGCCGTTAGATCCGGAACCCCTCAGTGTTGCCGTGGGGAAGAAGAGGAAGAAGACGAAGGCTCCTCAGAAGAGCAAACAAACCGCAGTGGATTGTGGGAAGCCCATGGGAATACCCGAGGGGCATTCATGGCTGAATACTGCCGCCCTCGCGCTGAAGTCGAGGGCTGACCGGGCCGAGTGTTATGTTACCCAGCTGCATGTGGGCCCTTCGGCCACCGTGATTGAACCGGGGCCCAACGATCTCTTGTCCCAAGCTCCCGAAGGGTGTTTCGTGGTCCATGTGCTGTCAGTTGCCATGGGCCTCCGGTTTCCGCTGCATCCCTTCCTCCTCGAGTATCTGAGGTATGTGGGTTTAGCCCCCTGCCAGCTCACCCCAAACAGCCACTCCTATATTACTGGCTTCCTTCAGCTTTGCCGGTCCAGGGGGGTAACTGCGACCCTCGATCTATTCTTCCAAAGCTTTAACTTGTGCCGGGGGGGCACACTAATTCCGAGGGGTTTGCAAACCTGCAGCAGCTTGCCCCCTGGAGGCTCTTTGACGATGTGCCTTCATCCCACAAAGGATGGAAGGACCGCTTCTGTTACATTAAGATGGCAGAAAATCCGTTCCCGAGGGAATTGCGCAACCACTTCAGGCGGCACCCGAAGGTGGGAAGTTCCGCACTTCAGAAGGAGGGGAAGAAGATTGCCGCCTTGCCGCCGGGGGCTACAAAGCATGTGACCGTCAAGGACTCCACTCTCCCAGAAGACTTGTTGGCCTTAGGCTTCTGGCGGTACCGTTTTCTTGGTGAAAAGGACGAGCAATACCCAGTTCTTGAGAGAGCCTTCGGTAGCACTGGAGGTAGTTACCGGAGGGCCCGCTTTGTTGTACTTAAGATTTTTTTGCACTTCTTTATCTCTTCTTTCTTGCAGTTGAATCCTTCGATCTAACGCTTACTATTGTTCTGCAGGTGTCAATATGGACGTTTCCAACTTCGCTGCTTTGAAGAAGAAGCTGGCCAAGGAGCCGAAGAAGAAGAAGGAGACGGGGGTTCAGAAACCCGTCGATGAATTCTTTAAGAAGGATGGGGCGTCTCAGGTCTCGGAGGGCGAGGGTCCCTCCAAAACTCCCAGCGTTGGTGTTGACGCCGAAGGCTCCCAGGCAGATCTGAAGAGAAAGAACGCCGGGAAGGGCGTGGTGCCTCCGGAGAAGAGGAAGAAGAAGGGGGGCGCCTTGATGAAGGACGCCCCCGTTATCATTGTCGAGGAGCAGCCTTCATCAAACCCCCCGATGGTTACTCCTCCTCGTTCCCCTCCATCCCCTATTGACGAGGAAATCCGCCCGGCGGAGATCATTCAATTCCCCGTCAAGTCGGGAACTTCAGTCCTCCATGACACCCTTCACCCCGTTGGGTTTATGAGGGGGGTGATGGCGCCGAAGGACAGATCTGTGTTGGCCCGCCTCGGGGACGACATTCTCGATTATAAAGTCGCAAGCTACAGCACTATGGTGAGCCTTCCCCTTGCCTACCCTTCGGCTTGAGTTTATAATATGATTCTAATGTTTATTTGCCCTTTGTCGTATTTGCAGGCTGCTCTGGCCTCCTCGGAGCAGGCCTGGAGGGTGGAACAGCTGAGGATCGCGAAGGTCCAAGCGGACGAGGCTCTGAAGAAGTCTGATGAGGAGATCTCCACCCTCCGGGAGAGGGTTGCTGATGCCGAGAAGGCTCTTCGGTTGGAGAGGGAGGGCATGGAGCAAAGGCTGAAAGATGTCGAGGATAAGGGGAAGGCTAAGGCCGAGGAAACCGCTGCTGCTGCCGCCAAGACTGCTGCCGAGGCCGCCGAGATTGAAAGGACCGAGGCGTTGGCTGATGCTAGGAAGAAAGCGGTTGAAGCTTTTCTTGCCGAGGGCTGGACGGCGGCGGACCACGAGGGGTGGGTGACCTCGGTGGTGGAGCAGAAGGTGGACGCCTGGGTGAGAGGCCCCGGTGCTGAATGGCTTGCCCAAAAGGGTAAGGACTACTATGATGGTGGTGAATTCTTCACCCAGAAGCTGGTCTACCGAAGGCTGGCTAGGCACCTGAAGATCGAGCCAAAAGATTTTGACTCGGCAACCTATGGCCTTCCCCCCTTGCAACCAGATGTAAGAGCCCCCCTCCCCGAAGGAGAAGAGAGGCCGGACCTGGAGGATTCCGAACTGATGCAGGAGGCAGATGATAAAGAAGCTGAGGATGATGCGGCCTCGAAGCCAAAGGAAGATGGAACTGAAGATGTCCAACTTTGAAAATTCCTCCAAGTGCAAATTCTGTAATAGCTTGTAGACGTTGGCTCCGGCCATGCTTTGTAATGAAACATGATTTTTGTACTCTAACAATTTGCTCTGCTGGATGTATGATATGCCTTTGGGTTTTTGCATGAATGCCTTCTCTTTCCTTCACCTGTGTATGTTTGCCTTCGTCATTTGTGTTAATGCATCTTGGTGGACCCAGAAAATCTTTCTAAGTAAAACCTGGCCGCAAGCCTTCGGTAGTTTTGTATGATCGGG